AATTTGTTTGTTCAATACTCTAGCAAAGTCATAGAACGGCCAATTAATAAATCAACAATAGCTTTATTAATTGGAAATTCATTCATCTATGTAGCATTTTGAAAGTTCAAATTAATAAAAAGTGTGTAAAATAACATTTACTAATTGTATTTATTAAAAATTTACTTTACATATAAACAATATATAATCATTCTATATTTGACATAATAATTACATGCTCATATTTTTTTATAATGTATTGTGTAAATAAGTTAATAAAGAATAAGTTGAGAGTACTATATTAATTTTAATAATTTAATTGCTTTTTTAACTTAGGAATTATATCTAAAGTAGATCTTTATTTTAAAATAATTAATTCTTTAAACATTGATTTATTAACTGGGTGTTCGCTGACTTTACTATAGTACTGAACAAACCAATTAATAAAGAGCATGTAGAGGTGTCTCTAGGATTTTGTTGTATTTATATTTATTTCATATGCTTTGAACAAGTAATTTTTTATTATGTGTTCTACTTCGTTCAGCATTCTTTACTTTCAGTAGGCATTTATTTACTTTAATAAAAATCCTTATTTTTATTAAAAATTTAAATCCTTATTGAATATTGACTATTAATTAAACGTAAATTAATTATTTCTTTGTTATGAGTTACATTCAGCAACTTATACATATTGCTGTTGAATTAGCAAACATAAACAATTACTAAAAATGCAAATGAATTATATGAATATTAATTACGTGAAAATTTTAAATTGTATCCATAAAATTTTCTCTTGCAAAATTCATTAGAATCATACTTCGTTTCAAAAAAAAAAATCTTTTCTTTTCTTTTTTTTTTTTTTTTTTTATCTCATTCTTATTTGTAACAAATCTTTTTCCAATCGATTTTTTTTTTTTTCTTACGATCTTTGTTTTTCTTTTTATAAAAATACAAACAAAAAAAATTGATCATTTTTTTTTTTTTTTTTTTTTTTTTTTTTTTTTTGTGTATGCATAACCAACTACGTATTCTTCATATAACTAGTCCTTTTATTTTCCAAAAAGATTAATAAAGCCTTTTATTAACCAGTAGTGTAAAAAAATCTCTAAATATTATTAATAGCGTTATAAGTGAAATATACTTTATTAAAAATAAATAATTAATAGCGATTTAAATTTTTAATAAAAATATAGGATTTTTCTTAAATTAAATAAATGCCTTTTGAAAATAATGAATGCTCAATTATATAAGTTATACAAATACATTTTACTAATTCATGGCATTTAACATTACATTTAAATCCATTAAATTAATAGAGGTAACTTTACATGCTCTTTATTAATTTGTTGGTTCATTACTCTAGGAAGATTAAATAGTTGTCAATTTATAAAACAACTATTCACAATTTATAAAAGAAAATCATTGTTAAAATATATATGCTTTTGAAATATTTCATTTTAATAAGAAAACTTAATTATTTTTATTGTAGTTTTCATATGTATGTCAAAAAAAATTTAAACATATGTATTTACTTTTTTTAAAATTTATCAATTTAATGCTTTAATATTTAAAACTTTTATATTTTTAAAATTCCACATCCATTTTTATAACAACAAAAGTTAATAATTGTTATGTTTTTAATTATACACTTTTCATTATATTAATTTTTTTTAAATTAAAATATTCAAATATGTGTTGTACAATTTATATATAATATAAATTTAATTAAATTTATATTTTTAAAGTATTTTATATTTATAAACAATTTAACTGAAAAAATAATAATTAAAATGTAGATTTTTTCTTTTAATAACTCGAATTATTCTAATATATTATAAAATATGTTAAACAAATATAAAATATTTGCCTAACCTATTCTTTTTAAAAAATACATAAATTCTATTTATTCTTTTTCTGAATAAAAAATTAAACAAAAAAGCTAAAAAAAAATATAAATTACACTAATAACTATAATTTGTTTTTCATTTATTTTATTTAATAAGACTTAAGGATTAAAAAAATAAATTATAATTATTAAGTATTAAAATTATATAAAATTTATTAATTTTTACTATAAATTAAGAGAATTTCAGTTTTACAACAGTGCATGAATATTCTACATTAATTTTTATGATTTATTTTAAACAGAAATATAATTATAAACTTAATTTATCACATAAATGAAATGTGTAAGAATTTTTTTTTCCGCTATTATTATATCAATAATATATATATATTTAAGTATAATTTACTTAAAAATATAGTTATGGGTGCTATGCATGGAGAATTCTTCAAACTAGGGAGTAATAAGGAAGGGATGAATTATACCATTTGTTATGGACTTAAATTAGTAATATGGAGCTTGATACAACACAATTATATTTAAATAAAGTAAAGAAAGAAACTACTGATGAGGGAAATAAAAAGTTTTAAGTAACCATAATGACATAATGAGTAAAATAAATATAACACGCGAATGTCAAAACTTTACAGTAAATGAAGAACTACGAGATAACATGACATTTAGAATACAAAATCGTTTTTCCGATTACTGTTTAGATGTGGCATTGACAGATGAATATTGTTTAAAATTAAAGAATATTTTCTCTATAGAACAACAAGCATTTGAAGAAGTTTTTCTTGATATACATAAAAAAAAGATAATAAGTGTAAAATGGATATTATTAATGACACAAACTTAATAAAAGTTTACCTAAGTAAGCATGCATCATCGGCGGGTATTCAAATATCAGATGAAAAATTACATAATTCTGCAGTGAGAATAGGTAAATTTGTTAATGATTTTAATTTTTTATCTTTGACATATTCAAAAGTTTTACCTATCGTTCCTGATGATCATAACATACATCTTTAAATGTTTTTTTGTTATTCATTCTAAATCGTCTGAATATTTCTTAATTTTTAATTAAAAACTATGTAATTTTTTATACATTCTAAATCACCTGGATATTTCTTAATTTTTAATTAAAAACTCTGTAATTTTTTAAATTTTCAACAACTTATTAATAATTATATCTTTATTATGTATTGATAAATTTAAATATTATGAAAGATCTACAGTATAATTTTTGAAACTTACTTGCATTTCTTTTTCTTCATATGAAATCAAACAAAAAATTAATTATAAGATTATGTAACTTATTACATTTTCATTTATATATAATAAATTATATGTATTAAAATTATATGTATTACAGTTATATGTGAGTTTTTAAATCATTTTAAATTTATATTATAAAAGAAAACACTTGGTGGTTTATGTTTTCTTCAATATAATATATATTTTTTGTTGTTTATATCGAATAGAAAATTACAAAAACATGGTATGTTAATATTTTCTTATATGTAAAAAAATTATTCTACATTATTTTTTACCTTTATAATTATATTATCATTTATTATTTTTATTACACGTATTATTGAGTGTAAGTTAATATTTAATCGATATATAACATTAATTAAACTGTGAAAATATTAAAAATTTATAAAAAAAAATAATTGCAAAAATTTATTTTAGTTGAATATACTTTTTAAAATTTAATCATTTATAATTTAAATGTGTATACAAATACATTCATTTATTTATATATATTGATATGCAAATTTTGGCTAACTTAAAATAAAAAATTTTTAATGAATAAATTTACTATGATAGTAAAAATATAAATTTACTATAATAATAATGTATTAATTATAATTCTAATGCTAAACTTTTCAACTTATTTTTGTTTAAAATTTTAAAGAAAAAATAAAAAAATAATGTGTATTAATAGTAAAAAAAGGGGCATTTCTTTTAACTAATGAATAAAAATATATATTTTCACTATTAAATTATATATTAATATATCATTGATTATAATTTATAAATTTATAATTTTAATTTTATCTCAAAATTTCCCAAAAGATTTTATTATTAAGGTATTATGGTTTTAAATTTTTAATAAAAAAAAAAAAAAAAAAAAAAGTCAATAAATCAAAAGATAGTTATTTTTCTTTTATTTAATGATAAAACTTAGAAGAACCATATGCATAGGTAAATATTAGCATAATTATATATAAAATGGTAAAAAAAAAAAAAAAGAAATAGAATTATATATTTTTATTCTGCTTTAAAGATTATAACATATTAAAGTATAAAATAACATTTAAAATATTTTTTACGATAACTTAAATGACAATTTGCAACGTTTGTTATTTAGTATAAGATAGATAAAATGTAATTTTTATAAAAATTAAGGAATGTTTCACTTACAAATATATATATATATATATATATATATATATAGATAATAAATATAAAAAATTATTTTATAGAATATCTTTATATTAATATATAGTGATTTATTAAATTGAATTCTGAATATGTCTATGATAAATTTAAAAGTTTAATTATATGTTTAGTTAGGATAATTATGAACATTTCAAAAAACAAAGTTGATATAAAATAATCATTTTAAATAGCATAGTAATATAGCATCTTTAATAAAAGCATTTTAGTCCAATATTTTTATTCCATATGATATTTCATTATAATAATAAATTAAAATTTTTGTTCACTATAAAAGCAAAAAAAAATTAAAATTTATGAAAAAACGATGATAAAAAAAAATAATATTAAAAAATGAACTAGAATAATAAATACTTTTTTCTTAGAATTAATAACTTTAGCTTTATGGAAATATTTTTAGAGGATTAATTAGTCTATACTTCTTATCATATTATATATGTTGTTTTTGCCTTTTATTTATCTTAATACGATAAACTTATAAAAATGCTAATAACTTCTTTTGCTATCTATTAATTGAATATAGCATAAATAAAAATGAATATAAATAAAAGAATATATTTAGTACACTAAGTTGTAAGAATTAAAATATAAGAAAATATACTTATACTTATATATGTATACCTAATGATATATTCCTAGAGTAAATTTTCATCGTTTAATTATATTTTTATTTCTTTTCCTAGTCCTATATAATGGTTGAGTATTATATTTTTTACGACATTTAAATCATGAGTTCAATTATATTCTATTCATTTGTAATTTTTTATTGTTAAATAAACATAAATTACCTTTTTTTTAAACTTATAGGAAAATAAAAATTAAATTTTTTACAAAAATATTTTAAAAAAATTAAAAAACATTAAAATGAACAACATAAAAAAAATGGATAAAATGAATACTTAATTATCTACCTTTTTGTAGAGTATAAAATATCTTTCAAATAAAAATAATATTTATTACCAAAAATATTGAGACATTACCTAAACAATATGTCATGATAATGAAATTAAAAGAATTTTATTAAGTGAAAAAACTAATATAGCTTGTACTATTAATTAAACTCCTAATATTATGATTGCTGGATGTTAAGAAATAACTCCTATGGTATCTTATTAGTATATAATTCACATGTTATTTGTTATAATAATAAATATAGTACTCATCTTTTTCTAAAGAAAGACTAATTTTTACTTATAAATGAAGAGTATAAAATTCAAAATTAATATATTTAAGTTAAAATAATATGTAAATGTTTTATTAATTAGTCAAATTAATAAAATGAATGTAAAGGTATCTCTATTTGTTTTATTTATTATAAAACCATTTATTATATATATATATATAAATATTTTTTATATAATTACACTATATAATATTAAATAAACAATAATATTTTATATGAAACTTAAAATACTCAAATTGCTGTTATTTTAGAATTAATATTTAACTATTCTTAATATATTAAACTTTTATAATAGTTTTTATGAAATTTACAAAAACTATTATATGGTCTTAAAATTTAACACTTTACATTTACTAAAACTGCAAGTAGAAACCACACATTAATTTTTTTTTATATATACTATTATATATACATCTTAGTACATCCATTTTAAAATACATATCTTATTACGCGTATTTCTGTATTTATTACTTTTATAATATCTTTCATATAACAGCAAACTCTTATACATAATCCTTTTAGAGATACTATAAATTGAAAAAACATTAATGTTTTTCGTTAACCAATATGTTAATATAACTAGGTCCAAATTTTGTTAGTAAAATTAACATATCATATCATATTAAGACGTTACATTTTTAAAATTAAAAAAAAGTTTTGTATGAATCATTTTTTTTTTTTTTTTTTTTTTTTTGAGTTACACACAAAATGTGTTATTTTTAAATAAAATTCACATCTTCAATTTCATAAAATGTGATAAAATAAAGTTATAGGTTAAAAAGAAAGACTATAAAATATAAAGTAAAAAAAGCAATTTAAAAATCCATTTGAATTTTTTATCTTCGAAATGTATTCAAAAAATGCACATTGATAAAATAAAAACGAAATAATTGCACTACAAAAATAATAACTAAACAAAAAATAGTAAAATTTTCTCTTATTAATAAATTTTTCAACTATGGTATATTTATATGAAATATAAAAATTAAATATTTTTAAAAAATATCCTTTATATATTCGTGATAATTTTATTTGAATAGTTTTTTCACTTTATATCTTTATTATTTTCTATATTAAGCATATTTTAAAAAACAATAATATTCAATATATATCTGTTAAACGACATAAATTTAAATGTATTTTATGTTAATATTTAAAAAATATTTAATATTTTAGTTATGCATTAAAATTTTTGTTAAACTTGTTTTAATATTTACCTTTTATTTTTTTTCATATAAAAAAAGAATAATAATTTCATTAATAAATAATAAAAGATAAAGGAATTTAGATATATTGTATTAGTTGAAATAAATAGCTATTATAATAAATTTTATGGAGAAAATATTTCCTGTAATAATTTATTCTACGAAATTGTGAATATTTAATTTTAAAAAATTTAATTATATAAAAAATATAATAAAATATAATAATATGATATATTATAGAAAGATTCATGTACATATTTTATCATAAAAAACAGAAATTAAAATTTTTTATTTGAAATTTTTACAAATAATTAGATTTATTTAAAAATAAAATATATCTTTTTTAAATACAAAGCAAAATTTTATTACTATTATAATCATATAATTATAAAAAGAAAAAGTATATTCATATGCATATGAAGTATAACAAAATTCACTTTCTAGTTATAACAAAAATTTATTTTAAATTTTCCTTAATAAAATTTTTAATTAGAGATATTTCTTTTTTTTTCGTGGGTATTTACTTTATAAATGATATTATCAACCTAAATTAAATGATATTTAAAAGTAATACTAAATGTATTTTTATCTTTAACTGTATCATATGAAGAAAAAAGAAGAACATTTGGGTTCACAGTCTAGTTATTACTAAGAAAAATTTTGAGTATTCTAAAAGTATATACACTAAAAAAAGAAATGTGTATATTTTTTTTTGTATGAATCTAAGTAAAAAGTTACACAAAAATAAATATATATACAGATGATAATTTTTTTCTAATTTTTCTTTGATATAATTTCTTTAAAAAAAAAAAAATCAAAAATATTATCTTTTTTTTTTGGGGGTGATTTTAAAAATGTAAAGTATGTTGTATTATATTAATAAATTATTGTAGAGATTAATTTAATAAATACTAAATGAGTCATTATTTAACATAATTTATAAATAATTAATAGTTTTATACAATTACCCACTTTAAAAAAAAATAAAAAAAACAGAGATATCTCTATATTCTCTTTATCAATTTGTTCTACACTAGTATATCCACTAAATAATAAATAAATGAATATTTAAAATATTTTACTTGTTTAATTAAATAATCCATATTTTAACAAAATGAATTTTTCTTACATCTTTTAAATATATATATATATATATATATATTTCTAAATTAAAAAGT